AAGCTCTTAATAACTGCAACATTGAGAGAAGCTCGACCTTTATCGATAGTTAATATGACCTTTGAGGCATCATAACTACCAATGATGAATAGACATGGAAATAGTTGAATCTTATCTATTAAGCATTATTATGAAATGACATTATTATGATTATATATGATAAACAGCCTATGATCATGCTTATGAATATGTTTTTCACTATACTTATGATTTAATGCTTACGACCTACATGTTCCACGTCAGTCTTGATATTTTTATATTATCTGCTCTCTTTTCATGTTATTTACTATATTAACATGTTATTACTTGTGTGCATAAATATGTATAGTTTCCTACGAGCATAAACTTTATTTCATTTTCATGTATAAAATCTTAATGTTAGCAGTAATTATTTCTCAGAGCTTGTTGCACATTCTTTGTTGTTGCCTTTTAGGTAGAGGCAATGAGCACCGGGGCGAATAGCCAAGAGTGTCTTTGTACAGCTTTTAAAATTGTACATATATTTTGGGTACTTATTTTTAGTATATTGGATTTAGCAACTCTATATAGTTTATATATTTTGAGGTTATGATTTTTCATGCTTCTGAAGATGAATATGAATGAATTATGAAATTTAATATACACGTATCTTGTGGTAATCTAGTTAGAATAATTCATCATCTACTGGGACTTAATTAAAAAAGTCAGGACGAGTGCTAGTGAGAGTTGGTCTGACCAAATTGTCAGTCTCTCTTGCACCACGATTGACCTAACCCGGAGGTTTGCTGGGGTGTGACAAGGTGTGACATTCATAGCTCAACTTACCCCATTTGATTAATCGCTCATTTAGGAAGAAGCATCCACTCAAGGAAGATGTACAATACCTCCATTACTAGTAATTCAACTTTATAGTATAGATAAGAATTCCAATCATGGCAACTTGGGGTGAATTTTAGCTCCTCGATAAAAACTAACATGTGAAACACAAAGAAATACTGTAAAGATTCCATGTCCCCTTAAAGAACACTCTCAAAAAATTCATCTTAAATCTCAAAACCATAAAGCAACTAAATCGCACTACACTACTGAAAAAAAAGATACTTAAAACAAAGCTTTGGTTTCAGGGCATCATCCATTAGCAACCGCTTACCTTCAAACTATTAGCACATTCTTCAAGCATAATATATCCTTGAGGGGTACTTGAATTCTTGAATGCTCATCCTCTCTAGAAAAACACATCTTACTAAATATAGAGTTTGATCCGTACTTAGATATGTAGAAATAGCATGCATGAGTCAATTGAAATAGATATCAAAAAAATTAGTTGCATGCTTAAAATGTCACCTTCAAGTTGAATGATGCTTCTTGAATCTAATCTTTCATTTCAAATCTCCATGTGAGTATATATACTAACAAGGCCCCCTATCCAATAAAAAAAATGATATTAACATTTTGGTGCTATTATTAAGGCTAGTGAAGAGCAATAAAGTGCAAAAAAAAGTCAATAATCTGCAATACCCCAAAATTTCAAAAAGGTATACTAAATTTCTTCAAAAAATTATACCACAATTTTTGCACCCACAAAAATTGACCATACATTTTTTTATAAAATTCAATAATTCATTTCAATCATGTTGATATATAGATGTATATAAAAATAATTTTAGTAATTAGCGATTATTAATTAATTTTCTATTAATATTATTTCCTCAAATTTAATTAAAATTACTATTCATTCATAATTACTATAGCTATCCAAACAATGGCATGCGTCCACTGTGAAGTGTTAATTGGATAAATATTAGCTATTATAATATTTATTTATTTATAAACTATTCTAAGCCATTTAAGCATCTAATCTTAATTCATCCTCATCCCCTTATCCAATTCTCCATTCATTTATCCTATTTAACACCAAATTACTCCACCATACTAGCCATGTTATTTAATACAAGCATTTACTTTAAGAATTTTTATGATATTTACATTTACTCCAGCCCTAAAATGCATATGATATGATGCACAATCAAATACCTTAATCTGGTTGCCCAAGTCATGTTTTATCCTGACTCATATAAATACAAGTGATTGATAAGAGGTGCATAAAAAGTTGATATTTTAAAAGGCCTATGATATGGATTTTATAATGAAAGAAATATATCAAAGATCATGCCGTGTTGATAGTCAAAAATTAAGCAGAAGAGACAACAATCATTTATCCCACTAAGCGAGGTCGGCTCAAGAAATTTTTTTCTCCATTGTGTCTTACTTAGTGTCATATTTTCATTAAATTAGAATAAATTAAAATCATTTATTATACAACAAGCCCAAGTCTTTTTAGATCTACCACCTACCTCTACCTTTCATAATGTAAGTCAAATCTAAATCATCCTAACTGAATCATCAGATGTTTGATGTTTAATGTGACCAAATCATTTAAGGCAACTCTCTCTAATTTTGTCTGTCATTGGAGCTACACCAATCCTTTCACAAATATTGCATTTTATTTCTAAGAGTCAAGTCACTCATCCACCTAAGATTCTCATCTCAAAAACATTTAACTTAGTTTTATGCTTCTCTTTTATAGGCCAACATTCTCCACCATTAAGAGGTCACAAAGGGCTAAATAAGGGATACAAAAAAGTTTACCAATATTTCTTCCAAAAGTTGGTACTAAGGGATCACCCTTGAATTAAGAGGATCATTAATATATGGTTAACTGTCAGGCTAGGTGACGACCTATGTTATAAATGTGACAATGTCTAAAGGTACATATGACATTTTTAAGACTATGAATGAAAATGAATGAGAAGATTAAATAAAAAACAAATCAAGCAATAAATATTTGGCATTTACATGATGCATTTTATTTATTTGCAAACAGATATTTACTAATTATGATTATGCAAATATAAAGCTTGTTTTGGTTTTAAAATAGGGCATTTACATACATAACATACAATTCTCATATATTTATAAATCTAAACTTTCATTTTGTGTGTGTGTAGCAATCAAATCTTTTCGATCATATTAAAAATATCACTATTATTACTGACTTTTTAAAAATGAAAAACATATTTTTATGCATAGGTTTATGATATCGAAGTGTTACATATGTAAATATAAAACTTTAAGTGTTCGATATGTAAATACATAAGAATTGTGTGATATGTATGTATATTTAACTTTTAAAAGTAAGGCACTAAAACAATCAAGTTTAAGATTAAAGATGGTCATGTTAGTTTAAGAACTCGCATTCATGTGATTATTTTCTTTCCTTACAGTATGAATCTTGTAATCAAATTGTTTATGCTGCTGAGCTTTTAATTCATTAGATATCATAATGACTGTTTCGCAGGCAAGAAAAAGAAACACGTGGGACCAAAATCATGTGACAAAGTTTATTTTTAAATGTACAATTTTAAATAACATAAAGAAGAATGTTTAAAATTTAAAGACTGTTTCTGTAATGTTAGAAGCTTTGTAATATAAATGCTTTAGATTAGGCACGTTTTCTTACTGATAGATATGATAAAAATTTATTTAGATGATTATGAAAGTATAAGTTATGATTAATGATGATCTAGATAGACAAAATTTCTACCCACTTGAGAGGATGGGTTAGAACGAAACGTGATAAAAAATGATATCAAAGCGAAGTTGAATTAGAAACTATGGTGGAATAATAAGTGGATCTAAAAATAAGTAGGAATGAGATTTGATTTAAATGAGACCACTTTAGAGCTATATATTGAATTAAACTGAGGTATTTGATCTGATTGGGTTGAGAATTATCTTTGGCGTGATATAATTATCAAATAATAATTTACATTAAATAAAAAAATTTTATTTATTTATAGGAAAGTATACTCAAAAAATCTCAGATGGAATAAGAGATTTTTTTTATCTAGACCAACCGTAGAAGTTTAAATATAAGTTGAGGATGATTCCAATAAAAGTGAAGAGACCAAGCTTAAAGAATTTCGTAATATTGTGAAACTAATTGTTTAAGGTGGTTGATAAAATGACATTTTTTGAAAATTTATCATCTAGTAGAAGTCCAAGGTCCAGATTAGGAAATGAAGTAGATCAATAATTAAAGATATTTCAGACATTTACAGCATCTACAATCCAAAGAGCCAATGAGCCAACTATTACTGAAGAATACTTGAAAATAGGAAAAAATTGGGTTGGTATGATTTGCCCTGATAAAAGTATTAGCTTTTTTTATACCAGAAAGGGAAGCTGAGAGATGGTGGCGAATTCAACGATCGAGTAGGGTGCTTTTATAAAAGTTTTCAATGATTACTTTACTCCAGCATCAGTTAGATTAGTACTGCAGAAAAAAATTTTACAATATAACTCGGGTTTCTAAGACAATTATGTAATGTGAGGCAAAATTCACATCCCTGTTTAAGTATGCATCTTATTATATTAATATCCACAAGGAAAAGTGGCATAGATTTCTGAAAGGTTTAAGGGATTGACAAAGATTAGATTTGGCAAAATATAAATAAATTATCAGTCTTAATGGAAAGCAGCGAAAATGAGAAATGAGTTGAGTTATTTAATGCAAAATTAAGAATCATAGTTTGACTAGAAAAATATTCAATAAAGGGGATATGTTAAAAATAAAAGATTCAGGTTTTGACAATAAGTAGAAACATTAGCAATTGGATAAAGCTTTATATAAGCAAAGTAAAAATAACGCATTTTGGATGTTGTCTATTGGATTCTAGAAAATGTTTCAAATGTGGAGAAGTCGGACACCATTAAATTGATTGTCCTTTAAAAATCAAAAATAGTAAATCATAACAAGTACAAAAAAAATGTTTGAAGGCCAACAAGTAAGAAAAAATTAAAAATTAAAATTAAAAATACTTAATTTAATGACAAGCCATCCATGCATCTGAAAGTAGAAAATCATAAAATATGAGCAGACAATAATTAAAAGCAAGAGTTATTGAAAAATAAAAGATTCAAGTTTGACAATAAGCAGAAACATGTACAATTGGGTATACCTTTATATGAGCAATGTAAAAATAAGCCATTTTGGATAGTATCTATTGGGTTCTAGGCATGTTTCAAATGTGGAGAAGTTGGACACCATTAAATTGATTGTCCTTTAAAAATCAAAAAATAGTAAACCATAAGGGTATTAGTGACAAGTACAAAAGATGTTTGAAGACAACAGGTTAAAAAAAAAAAGCTCAATTCAATGGCAAGCCATCCGTACATATGAAAGGAGAATATCATAAAATAAGAGCAGACAATCATTAAAAGAAAGAGTTCTTGAAATATAAGAGAATCAAGTTTGACAATATGCAGAAACATATACAATTGGATAAAACCATTATATGAGCAATGTAAAAATAAGGCATTTTGGATGGTGTCTATTAGGTTCTAGAAAATATTTCAAATGTGGAGAAGTTGGTCACCATTAAATTAATTCTCCTTTAAAAATCAAAAATAGTAAATCATAGGTATATTAGTGATCAATACAAAAAAAAAAGTTTGAAGGAAAACAATTTTAAGAAAAAAAAAACTCAATTTAACAGCAAACCATCCGTACATATGGAAGGAGAGTATCATAAAATAAGAGCAGACAATCATTAAAGGCAAGACTTCTTGTCATCACACCTTAAGAGACCAAAAACCTAGACACGGTTACATGTAAACTTCTAATCTCTAATCAATTTGGTACAATTCTATTTGATTTTGGTGCTTTGCATACATTTTTCTCCAAAAGCTTGTGAGTGTTTGTCATTAGAAATTGTATTCTTTTGCATCTAAATTGCGTGTTATGATAAATTCTGGATATTACATGCAAATGGAAAATGTGTCGTTGGCATTGATATCCAAGGTAGAAAATTAATAACGTAATTGATTAAAATAACTGTGATGATAATTATGTGATCTTGGAAATAAATTGTTTAACAAAATATAGTGTTACCATTAAATGATGAAGAAAGTGAGTTAAGTATAATTTATTTAACAAAAAACTAAAATATTCTTCCTGTGATGAGAATGTTGTACTTTCCCTAGTGGGTGCATTAAAAGTTAGTAAGAGGATGAGAAATGGTAAATTAGTGATTTTGGCAAAAATTGAAGTACTTAATAAGAATATCCACGAATGAAAGAATATCATGGGCGTAACAAAATTTTTTATATGTTTCTTGATAAATTCTCGAAACTGCCTCCTCACAGAGAAGTTCAATTTGGAATTGAATTGCAACCAAGAACATCAACCTATCTCCTTGTAGAATGGCCCCAAAAGTGTTGTGAGAATTAAAATAATAGTTGCAAAAAGTGGTGGATAAAAAGTTCATTAGACCAAGTAGTTCACCCTGGAATGCAAAGAAATATTGAATTATAAGATTGTGCATCGATTACATGGATTAAATAAAATGACATTTAAAAAAAGCATTCATTGCCAAGAACTGATTATTTATTTGATTATTGGGAAGGTGCAATTATATCCTTAGAAATTGATCTGAAATCAAAAAATCATCAAATCTAAATTAAAAGAAGTTAATATAATTAAGATAACTTTTGAATCTAAATAAAATCATTATGAAAAGTGGAGGGTACGGTTAGGTAAACAGCTGTCGAAAATTTTGTTGAAAAATAATGACATGAATCCTTTCGATCCTTGTGCTATGAATTTTTGGTAACGCCACCAGAGTTTTTTTGCAGAATTTATGAACCAAATTTTCAGATCATATATTGATTAGTTTGCAATCAAATTCATTGATAATTTTTAGATTTAATCTAAAACTGATGAAGATCATGTTGAACATATAAGGATAGCTTTAAATCTTTTAGAAAAATCAGTTGTTTGCAAAATTTTTAAAATGTAAATTTTAGCTAAAATGTGTTGCATTTTGAGGGCATATAATAAGTGGTTAAGGAATTTTAGTGGATCGTTAAAAGGTACAAATAATATTATAACGGCTTACACCAAAGAATGTTTTTAAGGTTCATTATTTTTTTGCTTTAGCTGGATATTATAAAATATTTGTTGAGGGATTCTCATATATAGCTTCGTCTTCATCAAAGATGATGATAAAAGATGTTAAATTTAAGTGAAAACTTGAATATGAAAATAATTTCAAGAATTAAAAAGACATCGGACAACTGCACCAACATTAACTATCCCATAAAGAATACAAGAATTTCAAATTCATAATAATGTGTCATAAAAAGGACTAGGGTGTGTTCTGATGCAAAATGAAAAACTATTTTCATGCATATCAAGATAATTAAAACCTCATGAAAGAAATTTTCCGTCTCATAATCTATAACTGGCAGCTGTAATATTAGCATTAAATATTTGGCGATACCATTTATATAAGGTGAAACGTGAAATATATAAGGAAGATCAAATTTAAAAACATATTAGAAAATCAACTCCTCCAATTGGTATATTGTTATTAGCAGTAGCAGTTGATAATTTTTATTTTGGGTTAGGCTTGAGAGATATGAGATTTTTTATTCGTGGGGTGGATTTCCCCTAAAATTAGATGACATTAAAGGATCCATAGTGAGATCTAGGTCCTCACCAAGATTGGCTTTCAGGTTTCTCCAATCCTTAACAGGCTATCAATTTTGTCCAAGGAAATCTAAAGCCACGAGGGAATTGTAAGGGTTTCAGGTGGAGGGAAATATTGAGGGCAACATTGCAAGCAATCTGTAGCTGAATCTGGTGGGAATTAGCTTAGAGAATAACCAACACGGGATGTGATCAGCAGCCAACTACATCCTTGAAATATTGCGTTTGCATTAAAATATCAAAAGAGCTACCAAACTATGCATGTAAGAGCATATGGTGTACAAAAATGTGGTCTATCTTCAACAAGTATAGAGGAGAGAACACAATGATCCTCTAGATGCGTCAAAATAAAAGATCCATGTAGAGAAAGTTGAGCAGAAGTATGTGCAGCTCGGTTGCACTCCCTTGGTATATAAAAACACATAACTTGTTTAAATATAGTAAGAAAAGCAAAATCCGGGGCAGCAAGTGGTTAATGTTCCCAGTGTCCTTCTTCATTGTAGCTTGCAAGGACCTAATGATATTGATGTTGTCTCTCTTTATTATTATGCCTTGCTACATCGGAGGGAAGGATGAATTATAGTTGAATTCTTTTCAAAAATCTTTTCCTTTTCTCAGTCCAGCATTGCGTACATAGATCTACATCAGAATTCAGGATGAATTACCATGAATCTTCAAATGTAAACTCTAAACTCCAGTCTGTTTTGGGACGAGCCCAATTGTTGATGCAAGAACATATCACACATCAGATTCTCTATTCTTAACTTTGCAACCCTTCCTTTTCAAATCGCCTTTTGAGCAGTTGATAGCTAACTTTGAAATTCCATTGCTTGCAGGGTTGCTGGAAGGATACCTCCTATTCATGTAGTGGAGCGGAAAGCAGGAGATAAGTTCGGTTGCAGGGAAGATTTGGGATAGGAAATGACACAACGCGCTGATTTTTCCTGCTGTCATCATTAAGAACTAGACTACAATTTTGCAGTCATTTAGAACAAAGACCTTCGGCATTACCTAGGAAGCAATTGTGTAATATAGTTCTTGCTTGTTATTGTGAATACTACTTTAATTTGTAATCAGTTTTATACATTTCTTTCTTCCTTATCAATTGATTATCAATAACAGATTTGAAAACCGTTAGACATAGTTGCAACTTTGTTCTTATCTCATATTAATACTAGAGCTTATCTTAGAATGCCGTCTATGAGAAACCAACTCGTCAGAATCAAGAACTAGTAATGGAGGGCTTGCATCGTGAAATTCAACAATTACAAAATTAGTAGCATATGAGAGACATAAGCAAGAGTCCTATTCAAATAAATCTAGTGACAATTGTTTCGATGGCATGAAGGAAAACCCTTTCCATGAGTGCTCTGAGAATCATCAAATGATGATGAACCTTTTCGTATACTGAAACCGATTAGACTTTATCAACATTTTGGGGTTAAAGTAATGACTTCATAATTTGCTATATATGATAGAATGCATATTTGAAATTGAAGATGCATGAAAAACTTGTAGCCATCAATTCGAGGAAACTTCTTGTATTTGGTTGGAAAATCTTAAGAGAGCATTAGCTAGAGAAGGTAGGATTAAAATTGTCAGGTGGGAAAAAAGATATCAAAAAAAGTATCTATCATTTCATTTAAGGCAAGATGTCTTTATTAAACTCCATAAATTTTGACAACAAAATTTGTCTATAGAAGACTATATATCTGAATTTGAATAAATGATGTTAAAATATAATCTTCTCCAACCTCTGAAGCACAAATCATTGCCCAATTTATAAGTGAGTTGCATCCTACAAATTCAAATACATATAACTACAAAGGTATTGAACCCTATCCGATGTAACTAAATTAACTCTTAAAGTAGAACGGCAATCAACTACTACCAAGAATTTTTCTTTGAGTGTAAGACAAGGATTTCGTAAGGTTCGCAAAAAAACTTTAGATGATCCACACCTTGTGTTTTCTTATAAAAAAAAACAACCAATCATCCACAAACTTCTACAGCAACAAAGCTACAATACTAACAATACATCAATAAAATGCTTTCAATTTTTCTGATTTAAATACACCAAATCGGTAAGGGTTGTGTTAGGTTATGTTTAGATGGTGCTCTTAAGACAGATGTGAAAATTAAATTAAGAGTGAAATATACCAAAACTTAAAGATTAAATCATAAGAAATATGAAAGGATCACAGCCAGAAATCAAGCAGCCCTAGCTTGTCGTGAGGAGCACAGGTGACCCACGTGTGAAAGGGAGGTTGGACCAAGCGAAAGACAAGTAGTTTTATATTTTTATTTATATAAATTATGTTATTAAATTAATTAAATTTTCTTAACTTTTAATAATTAATATCAGTGATTAATTGGACAAACAATTGCGAGAAATCGAGATCGATGTTTGTGAAATAAAGGAAGTGATTAATTGAATATTAGGGTTTACATTTTACTTATTAAAGAAAATTTTTAATCACATAACATCTAATTGCCATTAAAATTATTAATCATGAGGTATAGCCAGAAGAACATTCCAAGTTGGAGGATGAAAAAGATTGCAATGACAAGGTTAGTGTGTGATTGAAATTTTATTATAGTCAATTTAAACTAAATTATTAAATAGTAAAATTAGAATTTTATGAAATTTAACAAGGTATGTTAATTGAATGAATTATAAGTAATTGATATTTTGATAGAAAAAAAGAGGCGGTGAGGTAAAAGTTAGGGTTTGTAATTTTATCTTTTAATAAGTTAAATTAACATTAATTAATAATATTATTAATTTTTGTTTTTTGCCAATTTAATTAGGAAGCATAAAAGGAAGAATATTTGATTATAAATCGAGAAAGTTTTGCTATGTAAGACTTAGAGACCGAAATTGTTCTCTTTAATAGAATGAGAAAGAGACAAGCAAGCGAGATCAACGTGAGTAATTATATTCTAAATTTCAATAATATTTTTAATTATAAATATATTTCTTATTTTATTTATGTTCTAATACAATAAGATTTAAGTTAAAATAAATCCTTGATATTGTTAGATAAAAAAATATGTACGTTAAATAATTGCATAATAATTTTCCTATAAAATATTAGATTATTGAATGATATTTAAACTTTAATAGAGGTACATATATCATATTATTACATGACATTTAAATTATAATAGAGGTGCATTTATTAATTGATAGATAAATACAAATTATCTCATAAGAACAATGAAATGAAATGAAAATATTGTATATATGAAAGCTTGTATGTGCATTCTAAGAGAAAGAATTCACTTCATTATGAAACTGATGATTGATGTTTATATACTCACTTGTGTGGATGTTTGCCTTACTAACTTGAGCAATTATGAAATTTAGATCACTGACCACTGTGTCAATTAGAGAGTATCAGACAAGGACAAGTAGGCACTTTACCACCTCAAAGCAGTATCTAAGAGGAGTTATTCTAGAGAGTATCAGCAATTTAACTTCCCTTTTGATCTGGCTAAAGATTCGCTGATCAACCCATGATTAGGATTTGCAATGCATATCTATGAGCATCTTCATCATGTCTCGCATTTCCTCTATGCTCTCAAATTTGTTCTCCATATGGCTCTTTATGGAAGAAAGCATATCCTCTATGGTGGCAAATATTTCTTCCATTTGGTATCTAATTTGTCAAACTTCTTATCCCAGCACATCCACTTTCGTTGTTGTCATCCCTCCAAGTCTTGCTCTGATATCAATTTGATATGATCTGGAACCAAAAACAGGAAACAAACAGCAAATAGATTGCTCGAGAGAGATAAATAAACTCAAATGAGGACTACTAATAAAACCAATGAAAACAAACAAGATACAACGATGATCTATTATTAGAGAGGTAGATCATCTCTCCAAAAACCCTAAACGTCACTAGGAACACCATGAGAAAGAAAAAAACAACTACAGTCAAGCCAACTATAAAACAAACTCTACGTTGTTAGCCCTAATATAACTCAATCATAAACTCTTCAAAATTCTCCCCAAACTCATTTAATTTCTCCTCTTTGCAAGCGCAATTACAGCCTTTGTGGGGCGCACTTATTTGATGGACCCCTCTACGGCTACTCCATGTCATGCCTCCCTTGTTGAGTCGTTCGCCCCTTAGACAGCTGGGGTGGGTCGGTCGGCTGATTCCCGACCAATCCTACCTAAACCTGTTTAGTAACCGGCATAACACAATGTTATGGACTTATTCAAAGTCAACTAAATCGAACAAGCTCGTCATGGTAAGAAATGGTTGAGCAAAAGAATGACCGAACTAGAAGAGAAGTTTAATCCTGAATGGAGAATATGCATATCGCTAAACTTTTTGAGCAAATGAATTACTAAATTTAAAAGGGGTAATTTTTTTACAAAAATTTCTTGAATAATAAGTTTCTCTTTAAAAGCGCAAAGACAAACTTATGAAAGAGAGTTTCACAATATGTCTTAGGCAATTCATTTCATATAGCAATTCCACAACTATTTTGATTCAATACATGGCAAAAGCCAAAACTATTAGTTATATTTAATAAGCCGCTCTAGGTAGACATATAAACCAAAAAAATATCTAAACTTAGTTTGGCAATAAATAATAAACAATAAGAGAACTTCTGATTCGAGTATATACTCAAAAGCATCAATGTAAATGAGGGAGCTGATATATTTCATCTATGTTGTTTGTACGTAAAGTTAGGTTTTCTTCATTGCATAAAAGTATCTTGAATTTTTACTTAAATAAAATATATATGACTTACTGGAGCAAGTGATAATGCTTTTAACATCAAAGCTGCTCCTAAAATGTCCATAACAAAGCCGGCACTCCAGCTTTTATTAAAAAGATATGATTTAAGCACCTGCAAAGGAATAATTGAGAGAAGTTACTAAAACATAATCCATTTTGTCAGTTTAGTTTCGAACACACATGTAGATGACAATCTTGAGCACAAACGATTATATAAAAATAATAATAATAATAGTCAAAACATAGATGAGTGCCAAAATGGCTATTGTGTCAAGAAATTTAAGAAAATCTTTAGAAAACTCATCTTCATAATCAGCATTATCTCCATCTTTGACAAGTATCGCCTTAACTATTTGGGATTGGCTTTAAGAATCATCATTTTACATTTCTTCCTACTGAGTGTTGTATGATGTGTAAACCTCTTATGTGCAAATATTTTTGAAAAATTTTTATCTGTGTTACCTTAAGTCTAAATTTTTTCTTCATAATCCTCTGGCACAAGTTTTATCAAACCAGAAAGTTAGTGTATCTCTACACTACGTTATCTCTACACTACTTTGTTATGACCAAACTAACAATGTCTATGTTCCATTATCTCACATTAAGAAAAATGCTACCCCAATCATCATCATTAGAATTATCCCAATTAATTGGAGTCAGCTTTATGATCCTTTATGGTTCCCAGTTTCCTATTTGCTCCTAACAAATGTTATACAATATATTAAATCTATTATTCACAAATCATTTTTAACAACTTCTAGACAAGTAACCTTAAGTTTACCTGTTCTCTTTTCAAAGGCTAACACTAGTTTTAGCTACTTCACTATTGAGTGCATTTTTACCTCACGTTATATTATGTGGAAACAACATAAGGCAAAACTAAATTTTCTTTCAATAAACATCTGCAAATATAATCATTCTTAATTTTCTTAATTTTCTCACACATCCATCTTAGCATTCTTAAATCTTCCAAATACAAATTAGATACTAGGGCCTTCTTATTTTCCAACTTTCAAATCCAAACAATATAGTTGGCCTAATTGCAGTATTATAAATCTTTCTTTCAATTCACCAAGATATCATGTTATTGCATGATACTTCTGAGGCGTTCTACATTCCAACTATCTAGTCTTATCTTTAGAAATTATACATCCTCATCTAAATATTAGATATCCTTATCTATATCTTCACTCTTTTGTATAATAAATCCATATTTTACATATTACTTCTAAGAATAACTTGATATTACAATAATAATGATTAATAATTCTTAATATCATATCCACATAAATTAATTATCATACACTCATTTTTTTATTATACTAATGTTAAGTCCTCTATCATCAAAATATATTCTCCATAATTTTAATTTTTCACTGAAAATTTATATCATATGCAAAAAACATATATAAATGTATCTCTTTGAATATCACTTGCAAGCATCATCATAAATAATAAAAAATATGAACTCAATTTTAATTTTTGATGCTTACCATAACCATTGAAAGCTTCTAAATCACTGAACAACAAGTAATCTAAGTGATCCATGATTCATATTTTTTTAATAAAATCAATATAACTTCAATATGCATTTCTACTTTAATACATACCAAATCAATTATAAAGGTACTTCATCATATGCATTTTGAAAATAATTAAAAAATCATATGAGAACCTTATTATTTTACTCTTTAAGTTGTTTATTAATTATCTCTACACAAATTTTTTAATAATATAGCATCTTAGCCTGATACATAATTGGTTCTCCGAAATCAATGTAATTTTTTTAAGCCTACGTTTCATTACTCAATCTTATATCATTATTGTATAGCTAAATTATTTATCTATAGTTATGCAATCTTTAACATCTCCTTAATGCATAAATATTGGTACAAAAACATTTTTATCACCTATAATTTGACATTGGCTTAGTCTTCAAAATTCTATTAAAAAGATAATGTCAACTAAAATATTGCGTTATCCACTATAAGCCTCAAAATATCAATACATATCTCACTCAGATATGAATTCATATGGAACTTCTTCAAATAGAGCTCACTTTTTTAGATCAATCCATAGTGTATTGCAATACATTGCACAATATACCTTTTTGAAATAATATATTCCTTAAAACTCTCATTAAATAATTTTTGGAAGTAGTATTTACATCTTTTTATGTATATTCATTTTTAACTAAGATCGGTATTATCTTCAATTATAATGCATCTAACTCAATCAATATCTCTAGATCTCTAAATTCTTTCTTAAAATATTGCATACATCTCATTTTATCCTCCCTTAATATTAAGCATATTATATAAATTCAAAAAATTTATAGCTTTTATTATGCTCGCTCACTCTTTAAAAGACTTCTAGCTTCCTTATAATCCTTATAAAACTCAATAAAAATAAATTTTATAACCTTTTAAGAGAACAATTCTTTTATTCTTTTTGTAATCTTTTGTGCCATCATGTGAAACTAGAAACACCAACTTTGATTGTCTGGTCAAAAAACTAACACTTGTAGTTTTTACATGTATCTTTGCATACAACAACATCAACAAGCCTTTATCCGGCTACATGAATCCTTTCTCTCCACTGTGTCCTATTGAGTGTCATATTTTCATTTAATCCTAAAATATTAAGATTATTTTTTCTCTACTTTCATAACATAAGTCAAATCTAAAACATCTACTATCCTAACTAGATCATCAGATGGTCGGCATTTTATGTGACCAAACCATCTAAGATACACTTGTATCTCATTGGGTTGCACCAAACCTTTCACGAATATATTCTTTTTGTGATTCTCTCTAAGTATAAAAACACTCATCCACCTAAGCATTCTCGTCTCAGCAATGCAAAACTTAGTTTTATGCTTCTCTTTTATAGGCCAACATTCTGCATCATAAAGCATTACATGTGTCTTATATGCATCCTAAAAATTCTACTCCCGACAAGTATGTTACCAACCTCCCAATGTCATCTACATATTTTTCACTAGACTTTATATGCATCCTAAAAATTCTACTCCCGACAAGTATGTCACCAACCTCCCAATGTCATCTACATATTTTTCACTAGTTTGTTGCCACCCCTATTCATTATACAATTATATGGTTCCATGGTGTTAAGTGTATCTCTAATTCTTCTCATTCATTCATCAGGTGTAGAGAAAAAGATCAAAGAGATAACTAGTGGAGTAATAGAAGGTTATTAGTTACTTTAACTGATGTCATATAGAGCGATTTCTCCACTAGGTGGTTGGCAAAGAGCATTGAAGAGTCAAATGTAACATTTAGAAGCTAGAGGTATATGCACAAGAGAAAATCAATGGCAATCACAATGACAAGTGGCTAATGAGATGGTATGATATAAGAGGTGACATTCATTCCTCTATCACCGGTGAGTATATTCAATGAAAAGCTCATGCTTCAATATGGAGAGAGAATAAAGGAGATAGAGAAGTGAAAGAATAATAATAAAATTAAAGCAAAAAAATATATTTGGATATACAAATAATTTATATCATATTTATCTCTAAATGCAATGAATATCTCTCAAAATAGTAGTGGATGCAAATGACTTCATCATAACACATAAATATCTTATCTTTTTTTTATGATTTTCTTTCTTGAAAATTATTTTTCACATTCTCGTGATTGTCATTTCTCTAAAGTGTGTGCTTTTCCCAACACCTCACTTCATTACTAAATCTCCTTATTTATGTACCATGTATTTCTAAACTATCCTAAAACATCAATGAAAATCTTCTTAATGGCTATTCTATCTAATCCAAAATCAGATTTGGCTCAAATAAAAATTTTCAATTTTCCTCCAAACCATGCTATCTTGAAAGATTAGTAATTGCTCAGTTTTTAAAATTTAATCACTTTCTAAGTTCGATAATTTATTTTCATTTTTTTTCTTTATGTCCTTAAGATAAGATACTCCCACC